GGTAGGTAGGTAGGTGGGTAGGTAGGTAGGTGGGTAGGTAGGTAGGTAGGTGGGTAGGTAGGTAGATGGGTAGGTAGGTAGGTGGGTAGGTAGGTAGGTAGGTAGGTAGGTAGGTGGGTAGGTAGGTAGGTAGGTGGGTAGGTAGGTAGGTAGGTAGGTAGGTAGGTAGGTAGGTATATAGGCAGATAAACAGACAATTGTTAAGTGTCATAGAGTCAGTTCTGACTCATGGTGACCCTGTAAGGGGTTTCTGAGGAGTGGCTGGTGAATTTAAATTGCCAACCTTGCAGTTCAAACCGATCTTGTAGTCCAGTGCATTACCACATAGCACCACACAGTAGGTAGGTAGAAAGGACCTCTGATGGGGCTGAAGGATAGGCACTGGGCTGCTTACCATAAGGTTGGTAGTTCAAATCCAATAGTCACTCCATGGGAGAAAGATGAGGCTTTCTGCTCATAAAGATATATAGCCTCAGAAACCCTATACAGCATCACTATGAGTCAGAATCATCTCAGTGGCAGAGGGAGGGAGGTAGACAGACAGATAGCTAGGTATGTATGTAGGTAGCTGCAGAGAAGTTGCACAGCAGACAGTGAGGGAGAGATTAGATACAGAGCACTTAATATACCTGTGGGCAGTGTGGGGCGTGCCCTCTTCTTCCCTCTCATATTGGTCTGTGCCCAGGCATGGCAGGTCTTTACACATATTCAGCTTCCCTACTTCTGACTGAGGGGTAATCAGAGTCCTGGAGGTCCTACGTCTAAGTCTGGGAAGAGACCCCTCCTTCTCCTTTGATACAACTTTATCTCCAATAGAGCAGCTACTGTACTTCTCTTCTCACGTGTTAAGACCTATGATTCTTTAGGAGAAGCACTGGACTGTGAACCACAAGATCATTGGCTTGAGCCCACCGGTCACTCCGTGGGAGAAAGATGAGGCTTTTTGCTCCCACAAAGATGTACAGCCACAGAAATCCTGTACAGGGTTGCTGTGAGTTGGCACCTACTCGATGACATGTAAGAAAATAAAAGGGGTGATAATGTAGCATCTGCAAGCCTCCAGGAATCATTCATCAAATGTACTAGAGCTTGGAATCAAGTTCACAAGAAAGCATGGGACTCAGCCCAGAGGTCTCCCAGGTTCTGTCTTATTGGATGACTCTTTGGATCCTGGAATCATAGCACATAAATCTGTGGTCCACCTTCTAGGAAGGCATCTTATTTTCCCACAAAGCACCACAAGACAGAGTGTGCCATGTGACAAAAAGCAAGCACCAACGTGCTTTCTGGAAGTTCACTGGTGGTATTATTCATTCAACACAGAGTTACTGAGCACTTGATTGACATGTTACTGTGTACACTGCCAGACTGGAAACAAGGAATAATAAATGCTCTATGAGTCTTACCAAATAACACAAGAGGCAAGCCTTGCCAAACCTCTGTCAACCTGAAGACAATGAAGGGGGTGATGATTCCACCCACATCACACAGGGAAGAGCACACCATCACTCCAAGGTTCCTGATCAAAACAAAAAGGATTTTCATTACCAAGTGTTAACTTTATCCTACAGCAAACACAATGGCAGCCCCTGGGGCTAGCTGGGGTGCCATGCATACCACATGCTGACTGCGGTGAAAGGAGGCACCATGAGGAGTGACCTATGTGGTACTGAGAGGAGTTATTAGGTTCAGATGGAAGTTGGTAGAATGGGTTCATTGTTCATGCAACTGAACAAGAGAGCTTGCCTTTGTGAAGTTATCCATTCAAATACCTAGCTCTGAAGCTTGTAATATCCTAAAGAGATATTACAAATCAGGAAAGATAACCATAAAATACTTTGCTGCTCTAAATCTCAACTTTACCCCACTCTTGACCCAAATCTTACCTGTGTGCCACCAAGTCAGTTCCTACTCATAGTGACCCTGTGTAGGGTTTCCGAGGCTGTATATCTTTAAGGAAGCAGAAAGTCTCATTTTTCTCCCATGGAGCAGCTGGTAGATTTGAATGGCTGACCTTGTGGTTAACAGTGCAGCTCATAATCCACTACACTACCAGGGCTCTGCAATGCTATGTGTAGGAGAACGTTTGGATGAGAGTGGGTCTAGTGGGATCTGGGCTCATCTCCATCCTGGAACCCTGGGACCCTGGGAGCCAGGGAGCAGGGTCAGGCCAGGAAGAAACTCTACAGTATTCTGTTCCAGAAACTGACCAGCCATGTTATCAGTCAACAGCCAACAAGTGGCCACTAGTAGAGACACATTAGGTAGGGAGACTAGGCAGGAGGACTAATGAGAAAGATGAATTGTTGGAGTTCATTGGTTGAGCGCTGATGGCCAATAGTGTGCGTTAGGGTAAAATATATCTACCCAAGACAACATGGATCCCTGTTTCTAGGACTAGAACTGTATGGGTTCAGTGGTGTTGCAGAAGATGCTGTGGGGTACTAAGTTGAGAATTGTTGAGTCTAAATTCTAATTTAGACTTCTTTCATGTAGTTGGAATCTTAGGTTGAAATGAAGATGCTGCTAGAAGGGGGATACTTATGCTGAAGCCAGTTGTTTCTTCTATCTGATTTTGAGTTGGTAGGTTTTGAAAACTGGGGGGCAGGGAGTCTTCATTACAGGACCAGATACTCACTGAGAAATTGGGAAGGGTAAACAGAGGGTACTAAGGATTGGAGAACAAATAAAGGTAGAAGGGAACGAGGTATAGGACCCACCTACTTTAAATGACTCTTTCTACCCTTGTAACGACGGCACTTAACAACAACCACCCTTGTAACATTCTTTGCTCAGAAATCAACTGTCTTCTGATAGGAATACAGTCGCTCCAGCTTTCTATTACTCCTGGTGTGTTGCTGTAGGATAAGTTGGACTTGTAACCACAAGGTCAGCAGTTTAAACCCACCAGTTGCTCTAAGAACTGACTCAACAGTACAACAGTAACTCTTTTAATTCTACTCTCTCTCTTCATGTAATCTCTCCCCAAATGTTTAAACTATCTCTGTCTTTATATTTAAAGTGAGTTTCTTATAAACATCATACAATTGAATCTGTCCTTTTGTCTAATCTGTCAATCTCTGCCTTTTAACTGAATATTTAAACCATTTATATTTCTTATGGTTATGAATATAATCCTATTTAAAATCTATCATCTTCCCTTTTCCTTTCTTTTTCTCATATGTTCTTTGTTACTCTTTTCTCTTTTAACTACTTTAACTTTTTTATGGAGGGATTATTCTTAATGATTCCATTTTACCTTCTTTGTTAGGTTAATAGTGGTAAGTGTTTGTTTTTTGCTTTGGGTTTACAGTACATTATCCAGACACCCACAGGGCTGCCTAAACTTATCACAGTCTAGATTCAAGTGATATTGTAGCACTTCTTCTAGAGTATATGAACTTTACAATAGTATATTTCCCTTTCTCTCTTCTAGGACTGTGTACTATTGTATCACACAGTTACTTCCATATAGGTTATTAATCCCATAATACATTGTTATTTTTACTTTAAATCAGGGGTTGACAAACAGCATACAGGGAAAATCCAGCCTGTATTATTATAACCTTTGAGTTAAGGGTATTCTGTGCATTTTTAAAGGGTTGTAGAAACAAACATACAAAAAGAAAAGAAGAATGTGCAGCAGAGAAAAATATGTGATTCACAAACTCTAAACTATTTACTATTTGGCCCATATAAGAAAATTTTGTCCATCCTTGATTAAAACAGTTCATTATCTTTTAGAGTAAATAATCAGGAGGAGGGGTGGAGGTATTTCTATCGTCCCATGTAGTTACTATTTCCAGTGTTCTGTTGTGGTATGTATGTGTGTGTGTGAGTATATCTACCCATGTTCTCATCTAATATTACTATCCTTCTGTCTTTTGAACTTTAACATTTCCTGTAGAGGAGGTCTGTTGGTGATGAGTCCTGTAGAATTTTATACTGACCTGTCGTGAAAGTCTTTATCTTCCCTTAATTTTTGAAAGATATTTTTGCTGAGTAGAGAATTCAACATTGATAGGGTTATACACACACACACACACACACACACACACACCAGTCTTAATGCCTTTACATGTTACCATATTTTACCTTGCCCTGTTTCCAATAAGATATCTGCTGTCACTCTTGTCTTCGTTTCTATGTGCTATGTTTTTTTTTTCTCTGACTACTTGTAAGATTTCCTCTTTACTTTTAAAGAAATTTCATTATGATGTACCTTTCATCATGTATTTTGTGCCTGGAATGTATTGAGATTCTTGGTTCTGTACATTTGTAATTTTCAGCCATTATTTCTTCAAATATTTCCCCTGTGTCTCCAGCCACCATCTCTACTCTCCTTTTTGAACATGAGTGACATGTATTATAGTTGCCTGTCCCACAGCTCTGATTATCTCTGTATTTCATTTTGGATCATTTCTGATGCGGTCTTCAAATTCACTAATATTTTCTTCTCCAATGTCTAATCTACCATTATCCCCCTCTGTTGTGTTTTTCATGTCAGACATTATAATTTTCATCTCTATAAATTCAATTTGGGGTTTGTAAAAGTGTATTTCATGCCTGTAGTTAGCATGTTCAACTTTTTTCTATAAGTTCTTGAACATAGAAAATATAGTTTTAATCGCTATTTTAATGTCCTTATCTATTAGTGTTATTATCTAGGTCATTTCTAGAGCAGTCTAGATTGGTTTATTTTTCCCGTCCATGCCTGCTTCTTTGCATGCCAGGTAATTTCTTATTGGTTGCCAGACATTATAAGTTTTACCTCATTTGGTACTGAATATTTTTGTTTTCTTATAGCTAATTTTGAGCTTTGTTTTGCAAACATAGCAGAATTACTTGGGAACAGTTTCATCCTTTTGGACCTTACTTACACCATCGCTGGCATTCTCTTTCTTAGTAAGCACATTTCTTTATTGCCCTGTTTTATAACATTTACATTATTTGCTATATCCATATTCACATTCATTTTAGTCTCAAATTTAGTGTCCATACCAATATTAGACTTTATTTTTTAGAGCAGTGCATGTTTACCAAAAAACTGTGCAGACTGTACAGAAAGTTCTTGTATAACCCTCTTCCCCTTGCACACAGTTTCTCCTCTTTTGAACATCTTACAGCTGTCTGGTCCATTTGTCACAAATTATGAACCAACAGAACCAGGCACTCTTTCATTTCATGGTATTATACAGAAGGTCACTCTGAACTGGAACCAACTTGACAGCAACTAACACCAAGCATAGTTTACATCAGGGCTCACTCTTTGGACTGTACAAATGTATGTCATGTGTTCACCATGACAGTATTATAAGCACTCAAGAGGGTAGTTTCATGGCTCTTAGCATGCTCTGTTAAGCGTGCCTTCGTTACAATGCCACTTACTGTGCAAACTGAACAGTCCTGGGTGCTTCTCGAGAAAACAGTCAGAATGGTGGTCTTCATTCAGTCTGGCTGACATACAGCAATAGGAATGAATGGTTACCACTCCTTCCATGCACTTACCTGACAAATGTAGGGTATAGCTCAGCATTCACTAGGCAGACCATTTCAAATACAATGGTGATTCCCATTCTGCCAATGCAAGCTACCATGATATTCAACCAGTGTAGATCTGGGGAGGAGACACAAGTTATGACAAGCTATGACAAGAAGCCACATTTTCTGGTGCTTGGACATTTAGAACTGGAAAGGCCTAGACTATCTTATCTAAATGTTTCCTTTGGGAATCAGTCAACTGAGTCAACACGTTGTATGAAGGAAAGGATGTGTTTTTCAGAACTTCAGCTCTGCCTCCTACCAGCTTTGTGAACGTGGCATGTTATTTAGTTCTTTGTACCTTGGCTTCCTCAACTATAAAATGGAAATCATTTTGCTCTGTTTATAAATTGTTATGGAAATTAGAGATAATGTATGTTCAATATCCATTATGATACTCCATAAATGTTGACTTTAAGCATTATAAAGTATTTTAGCTGCTAGCACAGTACCTGGACATTTGTTATTGCAGTTAAGTACTGTCGAGTCGGTTCCGACTCATAGTGACTCTGTATGGAGTTTCTGAGGAGAAGGTGGTGGGTTTGAACTGCCAACCTTATGGTTCGCAGTCCAGTGCTGATCCTACAGTGCCACATCAGGAGTCCCACCTGGACGTAGTAAATACTATTAATGTACTTTTGGTAGTTGTCCTGGAAGATATACCAGATATGCCGAAGCTGTAATCCTCAATTCAGTGTTTATTTCCCAACATATTTTAACACCAAAATGCAGGCATTCTTCAAAGATATTGCAGGTTTGGTTCCAGACCACCACAATAAAACTAATACCACAATAAGGTGATTCAACACAAATTTGTTGGTTTCCCAATGCATATAAAAGTTATGGTTATAACATCATGAAAAAGGTTAAAATATTGTGAGAATTACCAAAACGTGGCACAGAGGCATAAAGTGAGTACATGCTATTGGGAAAATAGGACTCACTCAATGCAAGGCTGCCACAACCTTCAATTTTGTAAAATATATAATATCTGTGAGGCTCTTTAAAGTGAGGCACAATAAAACGAGGTGTGCCTGGAGTCTGGGAAGGAGGTAGTACCAGAGGAGACAATGGACCCAAGACAGTGCTCTCCTTCTTTTTTCTGGAAGAAAAAAATCTGAACTGTCACCAAGTGTTACCCAGGATTCTAACATTCCACAAGTCCCAAATAGGCCCCTAGATATGAAAATGGATGCAAAATAGATTAAATTGTGTCTCTTTGAAAGATGTGTTGGAATTCTAACCCCCAGACCTATGAAAGTAATACTGCTTGTTATGTTGATTAGATCATACCTGAGTTGGATGGGTCCCAAATCTTACCACTTCTGAATCATAAAATGACTAGATTAAACACAGAGGCATATACGTGGGGGAGGACACATGCCTTGGGAGGACCCTCTGCAAGGCAATGAATGTCACAGCTCATGAAAAGAAGAAAGTGACCCAGCCAAGACCTTGATTTGGACTCTTTATCTTCAAAAAATAGATATGTGCTCTTTAAAACCTTCCTTTTGTGGTATGTCTTTTATGGCAACCTGAAGAAACTAGGACAATGGGTAAACTCTATCACACATTGAATCTTCCTTTTTCTTGTCTGCATTCCTCTGTCCCCATAGAAGAAGGGAGAAGAGCATGGAGCTTACCTTCTCCTCACCCCATTTTATTTTTAGCCTGAGTGTTATGAATTGAATGGTGTCTCCCAAATAATATGTTGAAGTCCTTACCCCTGCACTTACGAATGTGACCTTCTTTGGGGAGAGAGGGTTTTCCTTTTCAGGTGATATCAGTTACATTAAACAAAATCATGTGGGAGTAGGGTGGGTTCTAATGCTAATCTCTTCAGAGTGGTATCTAATCAGACACAGAAAGAGTCATTCACAGAGGGAAGATGGGGTGTGAGGAAGGAGAGCCCACTGGAAACTCGGAGTGGGGTATGAACAGTTCCTGTCTTAGCTCTCAGAAAGCATAGACGCAGTCTGTACTCTGATTTAGATGGGCAGCCTCCAGAACTGTGGGCCAGTACATTTCTGTTCTTGAAAGCCACCCACTTTGTGGTCTTTTGTTACGGCAGCCCTGGGAAATTAAGATACGAATCTGTACTGCCTGGATCTTGTGAATGCAGATTTCATGGCACATTTCCCACAATGTACTGCACAAAAGCCTGCCAAAATGACTCATTAAACCAACAAGTACAAAGCACAGGCAATAAAAGCCAAGAAATAGCAAATCCATCTTGGTATTTAACAACCTTTCCCAAAGCAAAGAATGTGAAAGGTAGTTTATGTCCTCACATTAAAGCTGACTCAGATTGACCTGCATCAATTTATCTTGGGTTGTAAGAACTGTAGACTAAAATACACACCCACCAGAATGGCTAATATTAAAAAGACTAGCACTATTACTAAATATTTTTTATTAAAGATTCTATAGAGGAATCCTTATTACAAGGTATGTGTGGAGGGGAGAGGTTTCAAAATAGAATTTTAAATCCTCATGGTCAAATTCTCATGGGATACAGACATTCTGGATCCACAGGTATTAGATGCACCCCTGAGACTATTGTCCTGCAATTGTCTTCAAAAGGTAACCCAAAACTGATTGTGATTGTTGCAAATGTAAAGGTAGACATTTTGTAACAAAAAGGGATCTTGCAGCCCAGGAGTGGAGGACCCTGGGACCACCAAGGGAGAAGAGCAGGGTGTGGGACACTATCCAGAGAAGGAGCGACACCAGAGATGGAGGCAGAGATGATGATGTGGAGAGATGGAGCAGCTGGGGATTCTAGGCTCAAAGAGGGAGAGAGGCTGTGTGCTGGTGGCCAGGGGGCAAGCTTTCAGGGTATGCTTTTTGGTTGTTTGAATGATTATATATTCCTGAGTGCTTCAGTGTACATCCAAAATATATATGTGTGTATATATATATATATATATATATATATATATGGGTCAGAAACGACTCGAAGGCACTTAACAACAACAACAACATATATATATATACACACACACATATATGGAATAGAAGCAAATGCTGTTAAATGATGATGCATACATGCATACATGGAAGGGATTTTAATCATTGCAATGAAAAAAATACGATAGGATGAATGTAAACTATCATTCAATTCACAAGAAAAACTTTAAAAACAGAACGTAACCCAAAATATCCCCTGAAACTTTCTTAAACTTACAAAACAGTTTAGCTTTATAGCATACAGCATATAGCATTAGCATATAATGGCTGCCTTAAGCATTGTGCTGCTTCATAATCCGTTCATATGGGATCAGATTGACAATAGCAATTCAAAAGGTTACATATGAACCTGTTGTTGTTAAGTGTCGAGTCGGTTCTGACTCATAGCAACCCATATAGGGTTTCCATGGAGTCACTGATGAGTTTGAACCACCAACTTTGTGGTGAGCAGTCCAGGGGGTAGTGAATTTGTGTTAATAAGGGAAGGACCACTCAGAAAAAGAGGGTGAGAAAGATTGCACAGTTTGAAGAATGTAATCAGCATCACTGAATTTTATGGGTAGAAACTGCTGAATTGGTGCATATTTTGCTATGGATATTCTCAACCACAACAAAAATAACTAAATTATTACTTTATGAAAAAGAACAAATTCAAGTGTTGTTGAGTATGTGAAACAATTGAAACTCTCATACATACTGCTGGTGGAGTACAAATTGGTACAACCACCTTGGGAAACTGTTTGGTAGTAAGTACCCACTAAGCTCAAACCTACCAACTTCTCCTCAGAAACCCTATACAGGGTCACTGGGACTCAGAACTGACTTGACAATACTTAACAACAACAACCCAAACTAAGTATCTGCCTATCCATTGACCTAGCACGTGCTACCTAGATTGTTGTTGTTAAGTGCCATCAAGTTGGTCCCAACTCAAAGTGACCCTGTATAGGGTTTCCAAGGAATGAGTAGTGCATTTGAACTGCTGACCTTGTGGTTCAAATTGACCATGCGGCCCGGTGCTTTATCCTACAGCACCACACCATGCCCAAAAGACATGCACAAGAATGTTATTGCATCTTTAATTCCATCACTTGTCTGTCAGTGTGTCGTACTGTGGTGGCTTGTGAGTTGCTGTGATTCTGGAAGCTATGCCATGGGTATTTTAAATATAAGCAGGGTCACCCACTGCGGACAGGTTTCAGATGAGCTTCCAGACGAAGAGACACTAGGAAGAAGGACAGATGAATTACTTCCTAATACTTAGTCACTGAAAACCTTATGAATAGCAGAGAAACACAGTCAGATATAGTGACAGAAAATGAGCCCCCAGGTTGGAAGTCACTCAAAATGCGACTGGAAAAGAGCTGCCTCCTCAAAGTAGAGTTGACTGTGATGACATGAATGGAGTAAAGCCCGTGGGAGTAAAGTCCTCGGTACGTTCATTTGCTGATGGGGCACAACTCAAAATGAGGAGAAACAGTTGTAAACATCCATTAATAATCAGAACATGGAATGTTTGAAATATGAATCTAGGAAAATAGGAAATTGTCAAAAATGAAATGGGATGCATAAAATCGATATATTAGACATTAGTGAGCTGAAATGGACTGGTATTGGCCATTTTGACTCCGACAACCACATGGTATGCCAGAAATGACAAATTGAAGAGGCATGGTGTTGCATTCATCATCAAAAAGAACATTCCAAGATCAGTCATGAGGTATAACGCTGTCTGTGATAGGATAATATCCATGTGCCTACACAGAAGACCAGTTAATACCACTATCATTCAAATTTATGCACCAACCACTGAAGCCAGTGAGGATGAAACAGAAGAAAGCTATCAACTTCTACAATCTGAAATTGATAAAACATGCAATCAAGATGTATCAATCATTACTAGTGATTGGAATGCAAAGGTTGGACACGAAAAAGAAGGATCAGTAGTTGGAAAATATGGCCTTGGTGATAGAAACGATGCTGGAGATCACATGATAGAATTCTGCAAAACCAATGATTTGTTCATTTCAAATACTTTCATTAGACAACATAAGAGATGATTGTACACATGGACCTCACCAGATGGAATACACAGAAATCAAACTGACTACATCTGTGGAAAGTGATGGTGGAAAAGCACCATAGCATCAACCAAAACAAGGCCAGGGACAGATTGTGGAACAGACTATCAATTGCTCATATACAAGTACAGGCTGAAGCTGAAGAAAATGAAAACAAGTTCACAAGAGCCAAAATATGACCTAGAATATATTGTTGATGTTAGGTGATCTTGAATATATCCCACCTGAATTTAGAGACCATCTGAAGAAGAGATTTGATACATTAAACACTACAGACCGAAGATCAGAAGAGTTGTGAGATGACATCAAGAACATTATACATGAAGAAAGCCAAAAGTCATTAAGAAGACAAGCAAGAAGGAAAAGATCAAAATGGATTTCAGAAGAGACACTGAAACTGGCTCTCCAGTGTAGAGTTGCTACAGCAAATGGAAGAAATGAGGAGGTACAAGAGCTGAACAGAAAATTTCAAAGGTTAGCTTGAGAAGATAAAGCCAAAGGTTACAACAAAATGTGCAAAGATCTGGAATCAGAAAACCAAAAAGGATGAACTTGTTCAGCATTTCTCAAGCTGAGGGAACTGAAGAAAAAATTCAAGCATCGACTTTCATTATTGAAAGATTCTCTGGGCAAATTATTGAATTATGCAGAAAGCATCCAGTGAAGATGGAAGGAATACACAGTCACTAGTGAGTCACTAGTCAGCTTGAGGACTAGGGTGCACCTGACCCAGGCCATTGTGTTTTCAATAGCCTCATATGGA